GCCACTCCTTTCTCAGAGCACGCACTCACACCTTTATAAATACAAAAGTAGAACTGGGGTACCATATTCTGTGGCTCCTGAGGACCCTCCCGAACCTAAAATTGTATCTGCATATTTCACTGAATGAATTCAGAACTGGCTCAGCCACTGTGGCTGCATTCAGAAGGCCTTATCCATCTTAAAGACTAGGGCAGAGTGTCAAATGTCAGAAAAGCAACACACTTCAATGAAAAGAATGCAATAAAAGCTAATGTGGGAATTCTGGTTCCTTCTGGCATCGAGAGGCAGATTGACTCCTGTTTTTCCTTCCTGGCTAAGCATGGAATAATTAAAGGCCAAGTGTGGCTATGATCCAGGTCCCCTGTGTGCCAGGAAGCCCTGACCTTACCTTGTGCCCTGCTAAGATGGCAAACAGCAAGGGGAAGCTTTGGCCTCAGCTGCCATAAAGCCTGCATGATTCTGACTGATGCACAGGCCCCAGATGGGGGAGGAGGTGGGAGCAGAATTGCAATTTTTTTTTAATTGTTTGTGTTGACAAACCGTTATCAGCTGTGAGTTTACTGTTTACAATCCAATCTAGGATAGCTCACCTGGTGACCTGACTTGAGCTAGTCAAGTAACATGTTGTAGAACAATGAGAATGAGGAAGGTGAGGAGCTGGGGTTGGAGTGCAAGATCACACATACATATGTCCCTCACCTTTCTTCCTATGACGCTGTCCCTGCCCACCTGCCTGTCCAAATCCCTTCACTCAACATTTAAGGTATGAAACCTGAGGGCCGGGGGGCATCACCATGACTGTGCAGGATCCCATAAAGCTCATGAACTCACCCTGACATGTTGGCCACATGACTTCCCTACAAGGCAGCTGACTCCAGCAAGACACCCCAAAGTGACAGAATGTACCTGACGTGCAGATACCCAGAAATGCCAAGGCTGGAGCCATCTTTGTTTTCCCCCCCAGGAGGCTGGGAAGCAGAAACGATGGCAACAGGGTGTGAGGACACTGGGAAAAGCAGTTTCTGGCCCTTCGGTGTAAAGTCATTATCAAACAGAAGAATCCCTCTTTTTCAGATAGAAAAAGATCAGAGAGAAAGGTTTCATAGATGCAGTCACTCACCAGACTTCTCTTGAAACCTCACAGAGGAAGAGGCACAGTCAGTACATTTATAGTTGGCAAACACTCTGTGTCTCCATATGGCCCAGAAAGTGGGGTGTTGTGAGGGCAGTGGAATGAGGAGAAACAGATCCAACCTCTGCCAAAACTCTGCCCACTTCCCTACACAGGTATCTGGCTGAAGGCAGGAGACCTGAGTGTTCTTATAAATGCTTTATAATGTAAAAGTGTACCGGGAAGAACAGGAAAGGGGCCATGTGAGTATCTTTCCGTTTATTTTCTCATCTCCTGGTATGCCCACACTTAGAAAATAAATCCCCTTCCCCTCCTCCTCAAAAGTCAATAATAAAAGTTCCCAAACAGAATTTGTCAGGTTTACATTATAAAGAATCCCTTCACTTGAAGTACGCAGCTATAGAGAAGAGAGAGTTCTCTTCAGCCACTACACAAACAGCATATATGCTTATAGAAAACATACATGATGGCAGGTGCAGACCTCTGCAGGAGGGCTCAGGGGACCACGCAGCTTTCTTTGAGAATTCAGCTACAGGCCATTCCCTCCCCTTGGCTAGGGGCATTGCTCTTGGGACTTGGGCTGGGTTCTGAGAGGGCCTTGGCTGGTAGTGTTGGAAGGGATGCCAAGTCACCTATGACTTCTGAGACATCACATAAAGGCGTTACCATGGCAATCATCATCAGTTCTACTCAGACTGAGCAACAGCCTGAGTAGAAACCTCGGCAGGGCAAGGTTCAATTGCAAGGAGGAAAGAGAGAGAGGGCTAGAGTAAGGTCATCTGAACGGTGGACATTCCCAGAGGCAAACATATGGGTTATAACAATGGAAGTTGTAACCACAAGGAGGGAGGTCCTTGAAAAGTGTGCAGAAAACCCCACATTTGGCTTCCTGTTGGCTTGAGCCTCCTGCCATGGCCCGGCAGAGTACAACACAGGCTTCCTTCCGCTGTCTGCCCCAGGCCAGGCCCTCACTCTGCTGGCAGGGTAGATCCTGGCCAACCCTACCAAAGTGATGGAGGAGCTGAATTCTCCGGTGCCCTTAATGAGGAAAGGGAGAGAAGAGAGTTAGGAAGCATGGCACATGAGCGAGAGAAAGCATTACCTGGACCTCAGCAAATGTGACGAAGGCCAGAGAAGAGGGATGTGAGCCTGTTCCATGAGCAGGAGGAAGGGGAGAGGAAATGTGCATGGCCAGCTTGGAAGGATGGTAACAAAAGACAGTGGATGGAGAAGGGTGAGCAGGTACCATTTACATTTCCAGGGAAATTAAGAAAAAGTTCAGAAAGTGACATCACTAAAAGCAAGTGATGGATCATAACTCTCAATCCATCACATAAGTGTGGACCCCAGAACCCAGGGGTTCTTGGGGTTCCCTGCACTGTACCTGGTCTGAGGACCAACAGACAGGCTTCGGTTCCAGGGCTGTTAAGGCTTCCCTGCCACCAGCACCAAAGCCACCACCGCCATGTTTTCAAAGGGTACAAAAAGAGAACAAGACAGGTGACAACCCTCCAGCCCATCGTCCTTGCTCTGGATCTGAGGAGAGACAGCTGGACTGTGGACATGGGGCAGGCATGCAAAGGCTTCCTCTAAGATGCAACTTTTTCCCATGGGCACTTACATACCTGGCATGTAGGCACAAGGTGGTGTGTGTGTGTGTGTGTGTGCGCGCGCGTGTGTAAAACAAGTCTTGGAAACCACTCTGTGTTCATCTTCAACTATTTTCACACATTATATATCAACACATACTTGTCTTCCATGTTTAGCCTTGGTGAGAGAATGGAAGCATAAGGAAGGAAATTAACATCTATTGATCACTTACACTGTGCCAGGCCCTATGCTAAGCACTCTATACACATTATTTTGACTCTATTTCAGAGATGAGAAATTGAGGATAAAAGGGTTACTGTCTTGCTATGTTGCTCTAGCACATGATGCAGGTAAATAGAGGGGCTGGGATTCAAAAGAGGGCCTGCCTAAGTCCACAGCCCACACCTTCCTCCCACTATGTCCTGTCACCCCAGTGAGATTCCTAAAGATGGGGTGGATTCCTTGATATACTTCTCTCCTTGTCTTTCATTTCTTCAAAAAGACACAAACTACTTTGTTGAGATCAAAATAAGAAAGAAGAACAATATGGTGAATAATGTAAGCAAATGAATTGACAAAATGAAAAGGGAACTTGACCTTTTAGAAACTCAAAGGTGATATTTATCCCTTACCAAATAAATAGGCCTCCTTAGGAAAAAGACTCTAATGCTTCTTTCTAAGAAGGAGGAAGAGGAGCTGGGAGTCCCCTTGGTATAGCCAGAGCTGCCTTGATTTTTGTCTTGAGGTGAGAATTCATATGAGGTAGAGATGTTTGGGAAAATGCCATACTTTTGTGAAATTTCCTTGGAAATAGCTCAGTCATGTCTAACGGGAGTCTTTCCTGTTGTGAGAGACACAGGTGATTCCATGCGACTCTAATAGGGGTTAATATACTGGTGTACATGGGGGACAAGGGACACTGAAATTGATCTGCAAGGTCAGCTCAGGGTCATAAGCCACATTCACCCTGGCTCTCCTTTGGGGGGGTCCCTCATGGGTGGGACAGCAATTCAAATAGCCCACTTCTAGGTTCTGGGAGATCTTAGATTCTTAGGACAGCTGGAGACCTTTCATCTCTCCCACAGAGAGCTCCCTACCCTCAGCCACTTGGGGAATGTTTCTTCTTAAATCTCACCCCACCTCTTTCTCTGCCAGGGTAGACAGAAATGGAAGCTTATGGTATTTTGGGAGCAGGGGCGGGGGGATGGATGACCCCTTTCTTGGACCTGGGAAGGTCAAACGTATGCAGGTATTTTGCCCCTTCCCTCTTCCAGTTGCTATCACTGACAACAACTCCGAAATGTTTCCCTTCAGCCTCACCACACTGAAGCCAGACTTGCTTAGAAGATTCAGCTCTTGTACTTGAAGAGTCTGGAGGGAAGCCTGCTGCACCACCTAGGAAAGGGGGGGAGGCTGCTCTGGTGGTGGAACAAGGTAGAGACAGAGCCCAAAAGGCTGTCATTCATCTGAGGGTACTCGACATACCAGCTTACGGAAAAGGCCCTGACACCATGTGTATTTCCCAGCTATACCCTGGAGGGTTAAGAGAGCCCCTTCCTTCACCGGATTCCACAGGAAATGTCGGAATGTGGTTGAAAACCTGCTACAGCTGGATCAATGTTTGGGGGAAAAAAAAAATCCCCAAATGTAATGAACACGGTTTAGTTACCTAAATGGTTTAAGACTGTCTTCCTCAGTGTGTTATCAAGGAAGTTCCTAAATCTTACGTTCTGGAGTTAAACGTATTAACTTGGTTCTGATGTCCCTGAAATCTCTCTGGGGTATCTCTGCTCATGAGCAGAGAGTTCATGAGAGAGTTCATGAGAGATCATGCTCAAGATTCTGTGATCCCCAACTTTGTTCTACGCTCTACATTCTTCTTTCAAGCTGATTCTTTGTTTGAGAGAATCAAGAAACGAGAGATACGTAAGCTGTCCCTGGGTCCCTTCCTGAGCCCCTGGAGGCACTGCCCACATGCGTGAGCACCTGCCCATGCTTCCTCATCTCCAAGAAAGGAACCCCAGGGCCTCTAACTTCTCCCTAAGGACTTTCCCGGCTCCTCCTTCACCAGTGCTACCGTTTCGGGCATGTGAGCTGAAGATATAAGGCTCCTAGAAGTACCACAGAGGGCAAGCGGGAAGCAGATTTCAAGGGCAGCTCTCTTTGGCACCACTCTGAGTGAACTGTTTCTCAGGCTGGCCTTGGAGAGGCCTCAAAATCAAGGTCTCAGGAAGAAGAGACAACAGGAAATTGAACAAGAAGAAAGAGTTACACTTACGCCAAAGCAAAGGCCACCAATGCGCCAACCACCACCACAAAGTCCAGGATGTTCCATAGGTCTCGGAAGTAGGACCCATCCTGCAGGATCAAGCCCTGGTCTATCATCTGAAGGAGAAAGATGTGAACAGCCAGGGATGAGCCCACTGGTGTCGGCAATGCACCCTGAGCTCGGGGCTCCCCATGACAATGCCCCTACTGCCATTGTCTCTATAATCAACCCTGTACAAGGACCTGAAGAGCAAGAGGACATGTCTCACAGTCTCTCTTCACCTCACTCTGAAGCCTGAGGCCCCTTGTCATAGCCACCAGGGTTCAACTAGACTCCTTGGCTCTCACAGAACTCTGCCACATTCCTTCCTCCATTAGTGGCTCAGAGCACCAGGCGTCGCCACATATGCACAGAGGAGGGAACCCCACATAAGGGAGACTATGAAAAGAATAGAAATGTGGGGTGTTAGGATGATGGGAAACAGAATGGGGGGGCAGTGAGGGCAGCTGGAACTACATGGTGTCCAGGAAGACCCATCCCTAGCCGACCCTTTGCCTTGGCACGTGCCCAGGCTCAGACCAGGGAGCACACTGGGGAGGTGAGTACAATCCCCACCCCTGTCTGCACTCCCACTGCCTGCCTGAGAGTGGGCCTGGCTCCCCTTGGGACATACCCCCAGGTCTGCCTCAGTCTAAACAGATCCACGCAGACGTGCTGTACCACAACATCTTATCATGACAGACTTCATCAGAATTCTGAGGCCAGAGGAGGCGTGGCTGGAGGCCCTACTGAGGTTCTGTCATTGGCTGGTAGGTGGCAGCACTGGGGAAGGGCACCAAACTAAAGGAGCAGACACATGACCCATCTAAACCCCGTAGCCCAGCTTTTCTCTAGAGGCTTTTACCTTTATAACCATCTCAAAGGTGAACACGCCAGTGAAAACATAGTCAAAATACCTCAGGACCTGTAAGACACATATCCGTGAAGGGGAAGAGCATCACGTGTGGCCACCCGGCTATACACATGCCTGACTGCCCGTGTGCATGCAGTCCTGCACCCCCAATCCAACTCGTTTCTACCTCAGGACAGAAGCTTGGGATTGAGCCTGTTAGCTGGACACAGGAGGAGCGGGGCCAGGCGTTACTGCTGGAACCGCAGGACTTAGCGGTCAGTCCTTGGCTCTTCCCTCCCCTTGGGCAGACCTTCACTTCTTGGGTCTGAATGGCCCCACAAATATCTCCCTCAGGACCTAGAATCCTTGTCAGTTCCAATCCTCCTGACCTCCCTCATACTTCCCAACATACACCCTTAGGACCTCCGGGAGATGTCTCAGCAGCCTGGGGTAGAGCTTCAGCTCCCCAACTTCATGCAAATCCCTCATGACCCTACATGACCCTGTAAGACCTGGCTGGCTCGGGGGAGAAGGCCCACTGCTGAAACATAACAGCACACAGTGTGGCTGGGGAGTGGGGACTGGAGAAAAGGGGCTGGTCTTGAAATGGTCCCTACTTTGCCCTGAGGGACTGGAATGGACCATTTCTTAACCCTTCTTCACTCCCCAGGAACCTGCCTTAATTCACTTTTAATGCTGGGATGGGGAGGGGCTGGGATGGGGTGGGTACCAGGGTATTACGGAGGTTGCAAACGGCTCCCGTGCACCCACTTTGTTGCGCTCCGAGTTGGTCAGGACAGGGTCCTCGGCTGCCAGGGCAATGCTGCTGGCTGCGATCACCAGGAGAATGCACATCTCAAAGTAGCGCAGGTTCACAATGTAGTGGCAGGCCCTGCGAATCCTGTGGGGGTGGAAGGGCCTTCTGAGCTGCCTCTGCTTCCCTCCCATCCCCATCTCTTACTCCCCACCCTCCTGCTCATCAGCCTCTTCCAGACAGCCAGGCCCTGGCCAGAGGAAGCCATGGGGAGAGCAATTTAATTTCTCAGGCACCACCCTTGATTTAAAGCTCCAGTGGGAGAAGGTAATCAGATCGGTTAGAGGCTACGGTACGCAAGCCAAATACATTATCTGCAGGCACGGGAGCAGCCAGCATCAGATTACACGCACTCAGCATAGCTACATGGGACCCTCCATTGTATCTCAGTGTCACCTCCCCCACTGTACAGAAACTGGGGCATAGCAAGGAAATCATAAGCAGCCAGAAATGTAAAAACAGACCTTGATTTTAAGATTCCTGATGAGAGGAACAACAGGTTTTCATGAGCCCCAGGTATTCTGATTAAAGTGATCATATTCTATAGATTGTATTCTGGACTCAGGTGATCCGATATACCTTAGCCCGAGTTCCTTCCCTCCCAGAGGCTTGTCTGAATACTGCCCGTGTGGTCACTGAAAACCTTTCTGTCTTCCTAGCCTCAGAAGCTGGTCTATGTGTACATCTTGCTCATTTCCAGGGCAAAGGCAGCTCAGTCTAACCTTCCAGAATCTTCTCTGCCACCTCCATCTCATAGCCCTACCTCTGCTTTGAGGAACATGCCCATTTCAAAATCCACATATAGGGAAGTGGGACCAATCCTCTTAAACTCCAGTGGGTGGTCTATTTATGCCAGGCTCCATATTCACAGTTCTGTCCACCACTGAAATATTTGGTGACACATCCCAAGTAGATTTCCTTGCTCCCACCCCAGCCCTCGACACAACCTACTGAACAATTTGAGGTAAAGGGTCCTTTTCTCATGACATTGCTCATGCTTCTCCGTCTTAAATTATTCTTCAGATGCAGCACAGAGCTCAGCGGTGATTCAACCTCATGACACACTTCTACCAGGGAGCACCCCACATGTTTCAGATGTCTGGCCACAGTTCACTGAGAAGGATCAGGGGGGGCGAGCGGACCCTCGTCTCTCCTCCTCATCACCCCAACTCTGGCTCTAACCCTGGTCGTCTACCATGTGCCAAAGGGCGAGCGATAGGAAGGTGCCTTACGGGTTGGTGGTGCTGAAGATGAACATAGAGCTGTGGGGAACCATGGCTTTGCCCGTCTCACGCTTCTCCTTCTTTTGCTGCTTCTTCTCTACCTCTTCCTCCTCCTCTTTGATCTCTGCCTCCTTCAAAGGACTGGCTTCTCCATCAGTCTTGTTGCTAACTGTGAAAGGCACATGTTGAAATCATCAGAAACCTCGCTGCATGTGAGAATAGCACCTTTTGTTTTCCACAGGGATGGGATAGAGACGAGGGGAAGGGGTTACAGGAATGCATCTAGCCAGGCACCCTGCAAGCACTGGGTTTGTTAGATTACACTGTGAAGCCCTTACTCTCCTCCTAGCCTGACCCTCACCCTAATTTTACATGACAGCCTTTTTGGGCATATAAATAATAATCATGTGGGGCACCTGGGTGGCTCAGTAGGTTGAGTGTCCGACTTCAGCTCAGGTCACGATCTTATGGTTCATGAGTTCAAGGCCCGTGTCGAGCTCTGTGCTGAGAGCTCGGAGCCTGGAACCTGCTTCAGATTCTGGGTCTCCCTTTCTCTCTGCCCCTCCCTCACTTGCACTCTGTCTCACTCTTTCAAAAATAAATAAACATTAAAAAAATAATAATAATAATCATGTTTCCCAGGGTAACAGAACGATTATTTCTGTTGTAAGGCTTACAAAGTTATATCTAAAAATCTAGATTCTTTGTCTACATTTACTTATTGAATTTTCACAACAATACACCTTGAGCGGCATATATTATGTCCATTATACAGATGGGAAAAGTGAAGTTCAGGGAATTCAAGTTATCTATCTTCAGTTCATACAGCTAGTTCCCAACTCAAAATCCTATATCCTTTCAATGATATCACACTGCAATGGAAGATTTTAAGAAACCATTACTCTGTTTGCAGCTGACTCTCTGGCTGTGCTTTTTCCAGTCGTGATTAATGTTGAAACGGGAATGCAATATTCATGCAAATATGGGACCATGACGGCCTTCCAGGGCTAGGAGGATGAAGGAGTCAGAGACTGAGTGGAGCTTTTGGGCCGCCACCCTCAGTTTCCACATGCAACTTACAGTGTGGGTTAAGTGGCAGGGAGGCTAAAGTTGAGTGGGCAAGGGATTCAGTCAAACTCTCCCACTGTTCTCTCTCAGTGACCAACTCTACCCTGGAGCCTTGTGCAAGCAGCAGAGCTCTGAAGCTCTGGCTCCTTCTGGGTCCTTCCAAAAGGTAAATGATCCCAGATCCCTGTGACATTATGCCCTTACCTATGACCAAGGCCATAGACTAGCCCCAGGACAGGAGCAGAGGAAGGCCAAACTTTGTTGATGTTTCTTATAAGAGAGGGTCCAAAAGATTTACTTATTAGAGCATAAAATTAAACACACACCACAAGAGGTTGTGAGTCTGACATCCTGAGACATGCCCAAGTCAACCAAGCCCAGGAGCAGTGAACATGGGAGACTTCACTTTTTAAAGCAGTACTGGCATTTTGAGTGTACAGAAAGTAAAGCAATGGAGAGGGAGCAGAAGAAAGAAAAACAGGAAGAGGAGACTGTCCTATGAAAATAGAGATATATGGGAAAAATCAGAAGGAAAAAAAAGCAAGGGTAGAGCCCTCTGGTCATAATTCAGTGAGCATGAGGTGGCAGCCAGAATTAATGCAGGAATGGAAGTGGGGTGAGGGGTGGGGGTGAAGTTGGGGTGGGGGTGGGTTTAGTATGGGGATAGAGGCAGGGTTAGGGCAGGAAAGGGGGTGGGGCTGAAGTGAGGATAGGGGTGAGGTTAGGCTAGGGCAGGGATGGGGGTAGATGGAGGGCTTTCTGCTGTTTCCTTTTGAGGTCTGGAGATTAACATCCATTGCCTGAGGAATCTATCAGAGAAACTGAGTAAAAGCTCCTAGGAGAAAAGAGTAAATAAGAGTAATAAATTCATGAAATGTTAGTGCTGAGGAAGACCTCAGTGATCACCCAGTTCAGTGCTTCACTTTAGGGTTGACAAACTGAGGCCTCAGGAGAAACAGGTTTGGAAGCCATACACTAAGCGGTCTGGACCATCTCCTGCTCCACACGGGTTCCCTAGCTTGTCCGGGTGACATGGCCCCTCGGAGGTCCTGGAGAGTGCCATCGAGTGTTCACATGATACATCAAATAGCCACATATATACATCTGGCTACAAAACCACATGTGATCTCTCTGACGTCTCTATGATGGTCACAGGGGCCAAGGAGTAAGCAAATTTTACAGATAAAACTAAAGATGGAGAAAATTCTAACTTATTTTTCCTGCAAACCTAGATAAAACTGCTCCTATTGTTTCCTTGCTGAAGAATGATTTCGTTCTGCTGGTGGGGCTTTTCACGTTGCTTTACTGAGCGACTCCGGAGCCATAACTGTCCCCAGCCCTGGGTGGGATGGGTGGTGAGGGTGAAGGGGGACAGGGACTTGTGTTCTCACTGTGAACCACAGTTGAGTCCACCAAGGGGCCCACGTCGGGGATGGCGACGGTGACGCTGGTACTCTCAGTGGTGGCTTTGTCCGTGTTGGCCGTGACACAGGAGAGGTCGGGCTCACTCTGACTGATGGCCCGGCCCATGTCCAACTGCACATCCCCCAGCAGAGCTTGCTCACTGCTGCCCTCCGGCTCCTGCTCTGTCAGAGCCGTGTCCTTCCCCATTTCCAACTCTGGCTGCGGCTGGACTAAGGGTGTGTTGGCCTCGTCGAGGGCTCCTGCCAGCCCAGAGCCTCTGGGCACCATCAGACTGTTGGTCCTGCGGAGACAGAGGAGGAGACGGCTGGTGCTCAGATCAGAAGAAGATGTTCTAAAGTGGCTGGTGAGCCAGGCAAGAGGGAAAGTGGGGGGAAGCGCAAGGAGCCTCGCTCAGAGCATGGCATCTGCTGCCTCTCACCCCCACCCACCCAGGCAGAGAGGAGCTAAGACCCACAGGCGCTGTCCGTGCCTTGTTCCCATCCATCCACCTATGACCCACACCCAACAGGAGATGCCCTAGAAGACCAGTCTCTGGGTTTCAGGGGGACAGAGCCCACTGTGTGTCATATTTACACATGCCTTATAAAGGGTGCATCAGTATCATTTCCATTTTATAAAAGGGAAAAGTGAGCGCCAGGCGGGATTGTATTGAAGCATCCTTAACACCAGGAGGGCTCTATGCCTCCAGGGCACTCCTGCAGCTAACTTACCTCCTTAAGTCTTGGCCTCTTTCCTCTTCCTGGATTGTGGGTTCCTTGCCCCCGTGGCTGGCCCTGGGCTCTCGGTCCTTCTCCCCCTCGGTGGGCCCCCCTTCATCCAGACTCCGCTCCTGGCTGGCAGACCTGCTCCGGGAGGTGGAGGAGGGTTCCTTGCCTTCGGTCCTGACACGACGGTGCCTGCTGCGCCGCTGGCTCTGCCTGTGCCTGGCCCGGTCCTCGAAGGTCACTACAGTCTCCCCTCCCCCAGCCTCCTGCTGGGTCGAATCACAGTTACCATGACACGGCCTGGCCAGCCATGGTGGCTCCCGTTTGCCCAAGGACAAGGGGCTCCTCTGGTTGTCCAAGGCACTCGGCAGGTCCCCTCCGTCCCCCTTGAGGGACCCCCCGCGGCTAATGCGCTCCTCCTCACATTTCTCCAGGCCCAGGCCCAGGCCCTCAATGGGTCTGGGTCTCCGGTAGAGGCTCGGGTGGGCGTTGAGTGGGTTGAGGGGGCTCAGCGGGTTGAGGGGGTTGAGGGGGTTCATTGGTGGGGCCTCCTCTTTGTTGAGGGCCTCCTGGCTGGACATCTGCATGTGCCTTCTCAGCTGGCTGGTGCGCTGCTCCCACACTGACATGTGGTGCCGGCGCCTCCGCTCCCTCCTGCCAAAGAGGAAAGGGTGAGGACCACGGTCAGGAGCTGACCGCTGAAGGCCAGGGAGGGAGCCACAAGGGTGTAGACCAGCCCTCAGTAGCCACGGGAAAGGGGTGGGACACATGGGGGGCAGCAAACGGGAGAGCCTAGGACCTGCAGACAGGAAGCACAGAGAGATGCAAGGAGCCGAGTGGGCCACGCACGAGTAGGTGGTTGGACCAGCGCCTCCTGGTGTGTGGGGCTTCCCACCCTAATCCCTGCTCTGCAGTAGTCGAAGGGCGGGCAGGGATCAGCCTAGGACTGAGCCCCCAGGGCCTGCAGGAGAGGAGTAGAAGGCTTGCCAGGTTTTCACTCCCCTGTTCTCCTTTGCTCTCAGCGCACCAACCTGTACCCACCCTCTGCTCACCACTGGCCCTTAATTCAAGGTCAGAGATCTTTCTTCCTCCTACTCTCCCTGTCTTTGGTCCCTCAGATGACAGCCTGGGATAGCACAGGCTGAAAGGCGCAATGGTGGGCTACTCTTGGAGGATGACGGACGGCAGTGACAGGCAGACCCACGGAGTCATCCCCCTCAAAAAATAAGAGTGCCGTGGATCTCTTCCACAACAGCCGATAAAAGCCACAGTCTGCACGTGTAGAGCCCACCAGCAGCTCATTCTCCAAGCCGCTGCTGAACATCTCATGTGGCGGCAGGAACACGCAGACATATGCACGCAGGAGAGCACCCGGGAGTGGGCTCACACGGGCGGAAGGGTAGTCACCTACTCTTTCACTCACATGTGCCCACACGCATCCTCACTGAGGCCCACACCTGGCTGTACACAACTGCCTACGTGCAAGGCACACCCACCAACACCAATTACCCACACCAACGCGTGCCCACTCACAGGCCGCGCAGAGGAGTGAACAACACACAGGGTCACATACCTTAGACACACACTGATATAAGCACATGTCGGAAGGTGCAGAGGATAGTGTCCACAAACCATGTGCACGGAACACACGCACACACCACAACGCACACTGACATACACACCCAGCGCCACTCTGCCCACTGTGTGGTGAGAACAAAGACACGGTGTCCCTACACACACACATAACCACTCACAAACACGCAGACCGGTACACACATACAGGTGGCTGCTGCGTGGCTCCCACATCGACATGTGGTGTCTTCTCCTTCTGTCTCTTCTGGGAAAGAAAAACGAACAGGTTCAGTTCACCCCAGCCTCCTAGAACCACAAGCCCCACAGCCACCAGCCAATTTTCAGGAAGAGGCACAGAGTCCTCTACGTGCCCGTACGTTCTCCACATGCCTGCTGCCCTCCGTAGACTCCCGACCTTCAATTTGCCAAGGGAGTGACCTTTGCTTCTTACTCTGTGCAAACACGCGGATCTAGTTTTTGAAGCGTACATGCAGGGACACAATGGATATGTCATTTCGTAGAGTACGTAGCTTCAGGTGCTCGATCATCATGCCCGGCACTCACACCTGTACCTAAATACCCTTCAAGAGAGCTATTCTGGAAACCGCATAAACTTGCATGAAAGTTGTATTTCCCTCCATCATTTCCAGGATATTCACAGGGGTGTGACTTCACAACTCATCACTCCAATCACTGTAAAATATGCAAGAACAAATGCTTTGCCATGCACACCATCAAAGCCACACAGTAGCCCATGGCCAGAGGCAGGGTCACCACTCCATGAGCTGCTGTCCATGTACTTCAAGATATGTGCCATGTCCCCTGCAATTGTGCGACACAGTGACCCTGGCCAGAGGCCTTCCAGGTTCCATCTGTTCATTCAGGTAAAACACAGTAATAACCTTCTTAGTCATGCACAGGGGAAAAAAAAATCTTTCTACAGACATACACATGCTGTTTCCTTTTGTTTACAAGCTCGATAGAAGGTCAGACAGGCAGGGTGTGGGAATCACCCACAAAGGCAAAAAGGACTCGTACAAACAAAGCCGTCACTGCAAGATCAATGCTCAGGTAGAGGACAACACATCTGGGACACCTGTGGAGTGAGCTCGCCCCAAGTCCCCGGCTGACAGCCCCAGTTTGGCCCAGTGGGACCCTGATTAGACCTAGGAGGCTGGCAAGTGCTGCGCCCTCCCTGACCAATGGAGAACATGCTAGGTAAAGCGGCACTGCTCAACTGCCATGTCTCACATGCACAGGGGAGCATGACATGTGGGTGGGTGGAGGGAGTAGAGGCAGCTGGTTGGAGCCTCGCTTGGCATCTGGAAGAGGCACAATGTGTACACGCATCCACAGAGTGGAGATGCCTGTGAGCCCCCGTCTGCATGCACCCTTCAGCACAGGCAGCTGCAATGCAATAAGGCACACGTGGGCTGGTGGTGCCAAGGAGCATGGGTAGCATCTAGAAATAGAAGCACACACACTAGCCAGGCAGCATGCACACCCACTAGGGAAGGCAGATTCTGCCGTCTATTTGCAAATCCTCAAATACTCAAATAGCCATTCTCCAGAAGCACATGTGTAAGAGTTTAAGTACATGGAAGAATTCTCTTTCTTGTGAATGCACACAGGTGCGCGCGCACGCACACACACACACACACACACACACACACACACACACACCAAAGAGAGACCCAACTTTTAATTCCCACACAAATCAGATACACTTCAAACTCCTCTTCACTTCTCCATTCACACGTACGAAGATCCAAATTCACACCCCATCATGAATATACCTTCATTCTCAAAATCATACAGAGAAGCATCGACATATCTCCCAACTCATGCATATGTGACCTCACATACACCTTACATGAACCTTGTGGATCAGGAAGGGCAGCTGGTGTTCTTTCCATTTCAAAGATGGGGAAACAGACATTCTAGAATCCTAAGTGGCTCTCTCTCCAAGTATACTGAGCATGTGAGTTACAGAACCAGCCCTCAGACCTTCTGATTTGTAACAACACGCTTTTCATGTTTCTTTATAGACAGCCACACCTTGGTTATACAGCAGCCCAGAAATCAGGGGTCTCGTTTGCCCTCCCCAGCAGCACACACCCACCCTGACACAGTTCCTAGCAGCAGCACATACCCTACAGCAACGTACTGCAACCAGAGCCGTATCTCTGTTCATCGTGGAGAGTTACAGCACCTTGCTCCACCTCTCCAGGCCCAGATACACACACAGCTCACTGCCTACAGCCCTATGCCCTACCAGCATTTCATTCATTCTTTCATTCTATAAATAGGGAGTTTCTACTCTGGGCCAAGCATCTTCCCAACTCACGTCTCCAAACCCACTCTTCCTCAGGCTTCCTCATCTCAGTAAATAGAACCACCCACTCCTAAGTGACAGCCAGCCCTACCCACCAGCATGTTTGCATACCTGTGTGTGTGTGTGTGTATTTTTAACCCAAACTCACGAGTGCAAGGAAGGTGGGGAAAGAACTACTCAAGGCCCAGAGATTATTCCAGAGAGGAAGGAGTTGTTCTGCCTTTCTCCATCAATCTTTAACAAATTTTCAGGGCAGTATTTTCTCACGCACAAAGAAGGGGCTGAGAGGCCAAACCTTCAGTTCTGAAAGGTGAGGGCAAGATGAGGATCATCCAGGGGAAGGAGACCCCCACATAAAACCAAGAATGCCTCTACAGGGAAAGGCAGCAGACATTCAGAGACCTTCCCATGAGCACTTGGCAAAGAAAGGCTCCTCCTTTACCAGCTTCTGGGAATAGATAACGGGGTCTGGTGTCAGGATAGAGTTATACCTACCAGGGGTCTCAAAGTCTCCCCATCGATCCCCAGGGATGCCCACATAGGCCTTGCACAGGCTCAGAAGTCACAACAGGGATTCTCAACCCTTCCTCCAACACCTTCTTCCAGCTCCACACAGGGCCCACACCCTGCTAGTTCCTGCTAGTTCTACCAGCAACCACAGGTTCAGGTTGGATCCTCAAAGTCTATACTTGCTGCTCCACTCTCTAATCTCTCATCCTCCCCCTAATTCATTCCATCTGGATTCTGTTCCCACCGGGCCACTGAAACTGAAGGTCCGCAACAACTTTCATTTTGCCAAAAGAAATGGTCCCTTCTCTGTCCTCATCTCATGTGATCTCTCAACAGTAGTTAGCTGTACTGTCCAGTCGCTACTTCCTGAAGAGTTTTCTTCTCCAGGTCTCCAGGACATGACCCTTCCTTGTTCTTTCTTCCTACTCCTAATTGCCCCCATCAGTCTCCTCTGCAGGTTTGTTGTCTGCTGGACCTCGAGGCACAGGAGTGCTCTGGGTTTCTGTCCTTAGCAGCTCTGTCTCCACTACGATTCACTCCATGCCAGCTCACTCATGCTGAGAGTTTAATGCCATCCAAACTCAAATGGCTCCCCCCAAATCTTTATTTCTAACCCTGACTTCTCTTCTAAGCTTCAGACTCATGTAACCAATGGCCTATTCAACATCCTCACTTGGATGTCCTCTAAGTATCTCAAATTTAATGTGGCCAAAATGAATCTCGCACTGTTCTCTAGACTATCAGTAAATACCACCACCATCTACCCAGTTGCTTAGGCATCAAACCTTAAAACTTGAGAGAAATATTTTTTTTATCCCCACCCCCATGACATTTAATCTATCACCTCTTCCTGTTGGTTCTCTTTCCAAAGCATAGACTGAATGTGATTGCTTCTCATCTCCTCCACAGCTACGATGGTCTCAACTACCATCATATGTCACCTACTTTACTGTAATGGCCAAATCTGTCTCCCCATCTCCACTCTTGGCCCCGACAAATCCATTCTCTACAGGGAAGAGTGACCTACTATCAGTGTAAATCAGGTCATACCCATCCTTCCACTTTAGACCTTCCATGGTTGCCATTAGAATAAAAGCTAAAATCCTTTACCTGGTTCTTCAGGATCTCCCTGGCCTTGTCTCCTAGTCTTCTTTGCTCCCTGCATATCAGCTTCACTGCACCTTGCTGGAGAACACTCTTCCTTCATAATTTTACATGACTGCCTTCTCCATATTTAGATCTCTGCTTGAATATCACCTCTTCAAGGAATCCTTCCCAGACTGCCTATAAGTACTCCGCCCAATTCTTATTCCTCTGCATTATTACCCTGTTTTATTTACCTTACCACAATTATCACTGTCTAAAATTATTTACGTATGTTTCTTATCTAGCTCACTGAAATAAAAGCTCTGGGAGAACAGAGACTTCATCTTGCTCACTGCTATATTCACAGGACATCTCCTGGCATGGAGTAGGCATCCTCTGATAATACACCATTCTGAGTTGATGAATTAATTGGCTGTTAGCACAGGAGCCCAGGGGTCACTGAAGTGGGGACAGCCAACTCACTCGATAGAAGGCATGTTGGGTGCAGACATCGGGCTGACCTCCTTGGCCTTCTGCAATGCATGTTTCTGGTTGAAGGCTTCCTCTTCTTCTTGTTCATCCTAGACACAGAGCAGGGATGGGTTTGCTGGTATCCCCGTGAAGGAGAATAGCTGCCTTGGCTCTCCCCCCAAGTTCTGGAGACCAGGTGAAATGAGGAAGGCAGGAGAAGAGGTTAACCAAGGCAGTTTGAGGGTGGGTTGGCTCAGAGACTTCAGGAGGCCAGGCGCCAGGCCCTTTTGGAAACAGAACCCTTTCAGCCCTGGCATGGCCAGTTTCTGGTTTCCACCTTGCCCCAAAGGTTTCCTCACAATTCTTCAGGAAATCCATGGAATTCTACCCCAAGCTCCTAGCCCTCAGTGGAGCTACCCACAGCTATGGAGGTCAGAAGCTAGAGCCAACACCTCTCAGATGTTCTGCAGTACCTGGAAGTGATGGAGCAGGGCCCTTCTAGGCAGAACCCCGTGAAGTAAAATGCTGAGACTGTGCCTCTACTCATGCCCTCTCCTCTGCCAAGCTGAGTGGCATCATCCCAAGTGATCAGGCAGGGACCCCATCCCCTCACCTATATTCCTGTTGTAAATGTCTCTTCTTTGTGATGACACTGGGGAAAGCCAGTTCAGGTGAAATGACTAGAGCTACTAAGAACACACATCTTACTTAGCCTGCTCTGTTTTTCACATACTATACATTATTTCACTTGATCCTAACAATAATCCTGTGAGGTATGCAAAACAGATATATCATTCCCATTTCATCATCTACCCAGTTGATGAAGTGCCCAATGGCATTAGAGAACCATCAGATCCCCAGAGAATGCTTACCTTGGTCAGCTCTTGGGCATTGGCCAGATTGTCTACAGCAATGGCCAAGAACACATTCAGCAGTGTGTCTGGGGTGATGAGTTAAGGACGGGCGAGTAAGAAAAACAAAAGGCTTCAGCAAGACTGAGACGGCATCTCTAGGTCTTTCCTGCTGGGATACCAGCAGGAACAGAAGTTACCCCAAAGCATTGATTAAGCAGGGGTTATGCAGCCCTGTCTGAAGGGGAATATATATTCCCTCTTCCACTTATCTTCTCTTTGCATAGGACAAAGAAATAGCTAAATCCAACCACTCAGGGGCCAAGGTGGAGTAAGGAGGCCTTTAGATAGCTATGGCCTCTCCTCACGGCTTACTGAATAGAGATCGGCTGAACATCATGACAACAGGGAGCTCAATGCAGGAGCTCATGTCTCCTTTCTGAGAGGCTGGAACTGAAGCCCACCTAGACCAATCCTACTACTCTGTTCTTAAAAATGAAAAGAAATGAGATTCCACAGCTCCATCACTGCTTGGTTCTCAATAATGGGATGCTAACTTATTTCTCTCATTCTTCTTATCCTGGAAGTCTTCCATATTTCATTTAACAAAAATGTTACAGAGCACACAAGGTCATTATAGAACCTATTTCTATTCCAAGCTCTAACCTCTGAAGTCCCAATTTTCCAACTCTTTTTGGGGTCCATGTGTTGTGGAACACAGAAGTGGTTCCAGCATAAAAGTCCAGGTCTAACTACCCTCAGAGTAATAGGAAAATCAAGGTGCCATTGTGACAAACTGACCTTCTGTTTCTGTGATGCACTGCATTAACTTTCTTTTTATGGGTTTCTCATGTTTGGTTCATAGTCTGCTCTGACCCCTAGAAATTTTCACAGCAGATAACTTAAAGGAGTATCTTCTCTCTGTGAGACTATGGGAAAAGCCAAAGTCCAGCTATATCACATGGCTCTCCTTTTTCACTCCACCAATCCCATTTTAAGGCAAATCTCATTCCCCCAAAACATTTAATGATCGTGTAGAAGTTCACAGTTTATAAGGTGCATCCAAAGAAATTATATCACTTACTATGCACAACAAAGGGGTAAATGCTGTCATCCTCCCCACAGATGTGAAAACTAGAAGTTCAGAGAGATTAAGGGACTTTCCCAAGGCCACACAGCTGGTAAACAGAATTGTTGGGATTAAAACATAAATCTTCCTAGTCTATATATTATGACCAGACATAGGTTTGGGAATTAAATGGACTCAATTTCCAGTCTCCCTTTATAATTTAATAATTTTTTGACTTTGGTCAAGTTAGTTCATCTAAGTCTTAAGGATTAGATGGTAAGGTAAGGATTAGATGAAATGGTACCTGTAAAACACTTAGTACAGGGTCTCATGAATAGCACAAATACAATAAATGTTGGCTATGCTTAGGAGTATTAGTATTAGTCATAGCACTAATATTTTTGAAAGCTTACTATGTGACCAGTCCTATTCTATATTAACATGTAATTAATTTATTAGTATTACAGTGTGGTCACTATTTCAGCCTACAGTTATCTTTGTCAACTCTTATTTTCCCCAGCTGATAGCATCTCCAACTGTTCAATGTAAGAGCCTCATAAGTTATTATTTGTGTATGTTGTAGATATAGATAATACTTTATCTTCTTGTTTATATTTGTCTTCTTTACCCAACTACTGTACAATTTCCTTAAAATCAGAATCCTTATTTCTCTTAGTACACTGAACTATATCCACCCCAATGCTACCCTGATGCCCTAAAAAAACCCCACCCACCTCTACCACCATCACCACCCTCCTCAAATGCTGGTCCAGGCAGGCAAAGAGCACAAAGAGGAGCATCTTAAAAAGGATACAGTTTCCAAACAAGGTGAGCACAATGAAATAGATAGCTGACCACATGCCTGAGCTAACTCCACCCTGGGAGCGGATCCCATTGTACATAACCTCATTCCAGTCCTCACCTGTTAGGATCTAGGCAAAGCAAACAATAGGCAAGTCAGAGACCTGGGTTGGTTGAAAAAATGGGGCTAATGCAAAAAGGAAAATTCTCGCCTAGGTTTTTTCCATCTACCTCTTGCTTGGCTATTCTTCCAGGGAGAAAAATAAAGTCATTTTTATGAGCAATTCTAAACTTTCTTCTGATAAGGAAGAAAGGCATTGAAAAATAGAAAGAAAGCATCAAAAGGAAAGATTCTATTCCTCAGACTACAGACTCCCTCCATCTCCAGCTTTGCCAAGTCTATGGTAATCACACAGATCAAGTGGTCTGGTCACTACCAGACTATGCCAGGGGAGCCAAGTGTATAGTTCTTGAGATAGCAGCATTATTAGAAAGAGCCTCATGGGCTCCAGTTCTGGAAACCTGGGTTCTGGTTCAGCCTCAGATTCCAGCTAAACAGTGTTTTCTATAGCACTCGGCATTATTTATTTTTGAGTTTGCCCCCATGATTTAAAAATATTTTTTGTGGGGGGGGGGGATAGTGGGGGTGGGTGGAAAACATAATTCATTAAATGGACACGTGGGTTAGAAGATGCTTCCAATTTTAGAAAACCATAAATGTGATATGACAGTTTTACTTCTTCCTTACCAATTTGGATGACTTTTACCTCTTTTTCTTGTCTGACTGCGGTGGCTAGGACTTCCAGTACTATGTAGGATAAAAGTGGTGCAAGTAGGCATCATCAACAATTGCTAAGCTATGGAGAGAGCCCAAATGTCCATCGATTGATGAATGGATAAAGAAGATGTGCTACATATATACAATGGAATATTACTCAACCATCAAAAAAAGAAAATCTTGATTTTGCAGTGATGTGGATGGAGCTAGAAGGTATTATGCTAAGTAAGACACATCAGAGAATGACAAATACCATATGATTTCACTCATCAACAAAACAGATGAACATATGGTAGGGGGAGGAAAAAGAGGAGAGAGGGAAACAAACCACAAGAGACTCTTAACAATAGAGAACAAACTGAGGGTTGATGGAGGGAGGTGGGTGGGGGATGGGCTAGATGGTGATGGGTATTAGGGAGGGCACTTGTGATGAGCACTGGGTGTTGTATGTTAAGTGATGAATCACTGAATTTTCCTTCTAAAACCAATATTGCGCTGTATGTTGGCTAACTAAAATTTAAAAATAAGATAAAATAGGGGCGCCTGGGTGGCGCAGTCGGTTAAGCGTCCGACTTCAGCCAGGTCACGATCTCGCGGTCCGTGAGTTCGGGCCCCGCGTCGGGCTCTGGGCTGATGGCTCAGAGCCTGGAGCCTGTTTCCGATTCTGTGTCTCCCTCTCTCTCTGCCCCTCCCCCGTTCATGCTCTGTCTCTCTCTGTCCCAAAAATAAATAAACGTTGAAAAAAAAATAAAAAAAAAAGATAAAATAAAATAAATAAAATAACAGCAAACATTAAAAAAAGTGGTGCAAGTAGACATCTTTGTCTTGTTCCTAGTCTTAGAGAAAAAGGTTTTAGCTTTTCACCACTGAGTATGATTTGGCTGTGGGTTTGTCATATATGGCCTTTATTATGTTGAGGTATGTTCCTCCTATATACACTTTGTTGAGAGTTTTATCATGAATGAATGTTAAATTTTGTTACATTCTTTTTCTGCATCTATTAAAATAATCATATGACTTTTATCCTTTATTTTGTTAATGTGGTATATCACATCAATTGATGTATGGATATCAAACCATCCTTGCATTCCTGGAATAAAGCCCACTTGATGGTGGTCATAAATACCATAAGTTACTGAATGTCTTTGCCTTAATATCTCTTGCAAACTCACAAGTATGGGGAAAAGGCCAATCAGGTAGTTATAATAGAGCTCTTCCATTATTGGTAAGAACGTAGCTACAGAAATTCTAGGAATTATTGTGTTGATAATTATTTAACAAGAATCCCAGTTGCCTGGGATGAGCCTGGAAAGGAAAAGTAGGATTCTATTAACATATCACCATTTTTGAGTGTGAGCTCCAAAAGATCTTACTTAACATTTTTACCTGTCAGTTGGCCTCATACCTGGAATACAGTCATGATGGCTGCCGGAAAGGTGTCAAAGTTTGCTGAAGGAGTCCCATCATTAAAGTTAAACCTGAGAAAGAAGTTCAGAGAGAAGAATAAAATGAAAATCTCACATACCAAGTTTTTCCCTTCCTGAGATTGTTCCCTTTTTATCACTTCTTTTACTCTTTCTCCACATCCTCTTCTTCCTTCATTTCTCCCTATTCAATGTAACTTATGAAGATGGCATTATTAGTGGCTATTACTGATGCACTGTGCACTTTGAAGGGCATGGATAATGAGATAGGGTTTGGGCTGACCCTGAGTTATAAGGCCCCATGCTGTACATTTCAGGGACAGTTCCCAAGAGAGGGGTCTTTTCCATAACCAGAATCCTGTACAGTGTGAAAAGGTTAAAAACAGAGACCACCACACACACTCAGTGGTTGATGGGCCATGGAAAAAAGCAAACAAGATGATATCATGGTGATCAAATTAGAAACCCGAGTGCTCACAGGCTGAAGACTGGGTTTTGAGGCTCCTTTGGATGGAAAGTTCATTGGTGCTTACCTGCCCCCAAACAGCTGCATTCCTAGGAGAGCAAAGACAACGATGAAGAGGAAGAGGAGGAAGAGCAAACTGATGATAGACTTCATAGAACTCATCAAGGAGACCACCAGATTTCGCAGAGATGCCCAATACCTACAAAACCCAAACACTGTAGCAGTGAACACTGAATATAAACTTATCCCCAATCCAGCTGGGAATCTGCCTGGTAGTGTATGAAATGTGCTGCATTTGTGTATTTGTGTGAAGGAGAGATGTCAGCAACAATGAGGCTCCCCTTGGGAATGTGACATGGGATCTGGCGTCATAGACACTTTTCTGGTTTGATATTTGGGGAAGGAGGAACTGAAGAATGGAGCGGGGACATGGTAGGGAAGGGGAACATATGGCGAGGGAGAACAGGGGATGGAAGGAAATATAATATAATAAGGGAGAGAGAAGCTTCCGCTCTCACAGGTGGTTGGGAAGAGTCCAGTTTATGATCACTTACTTGGTTATTTTAAATATTCTTAGAAGCCGGAGAGCTCGCAAGACACTGATTCCAAAAGATGTACCAGGTCTGAAGATTGCCCAGACCACTTCAAAGATACTGCCCACTGTGACCTAAAGAGCCAAACCCAGCCACAGTGAGGAGGAGGAGGAGAGCAGAGCCTTCTGGCATTCAGCAGTCAGCACTTTTCATTGGGCTACGGTGAAATTGAAACTCTCCCCACCCCACCCGGCACAGCTCCAACAGGACTACCTATTTGTGAAGGCTGCCAAAGGAAAATGAGACTCTACTGCCTCCCTCCCCACTTCTCTCCACTCCTCTTCCTGACTTCAATCCTTCATGCTGGAGACTGGTTCACTGACTGCTGTTTTGTCCTTGGTGAAAACTACAAGAGCCAGTGTGCCTCTGCACAAATTTGATAGCCACAAGCGTTCTTACACAGTAACTCCTTGAACAGACAGACAAAAGATACTCAAAGCAAAGGAACAAATTTGAGTTAATGCAGGTTGCATCCCAATGTAAAAACCTCAGAGAACGTCCACATTCTCTCACCGTCCGAGAATTTAGCACTAACAAGAATCACTAACAAGAAGCACTAACAAGGTTCATTCACCTGTATGTGAAGCATCTTTTAGCCACACAGGTCCCATGTACCCCAATGTGACAGTACTACTTGGTGGCACAGAATCTGATTGCCGTGGGAAGGAGTAGTGTCAAATTAACATTTTGGCTTTGTTTTCATTATATTTTCACTGAATGTCTACTATATTCTACACAGTGCTCTAGGAAAAATAACAAAAATTAATCCTCACTGCAATGCTGAGAAGTATGTAGAGAGGGAATGGTCTTTCACTAGCTGTTATGCCTGAAAATTGCCCGTACCCAGAAGCATATGTTCCAAGTTAAAATGCAGATTGGCAAGTGCTCAAAATCGTTAGCACATAACTGAAGATTTGGCAGGAACAGAAGTGGGCTTGGCAGAAAGAGAAGTGGTTCAGGAACCCAAAGTTTTGCAACCTAGTTCTGCTGCTAACTGGCTATGTGAACTTGCACACGATGTTCTCTATTTACTCATTTTCAAATGAGAAAGATAATTCCTGATATGTAATAGAGTGGTTAGGAGTCCCAAAAGCAGTGGAGGACAAAAATGTATGTCAAAACATCTTGAAGGCACACATTTATATATCAACACATTTATATATCAACAGTATTTAGGAAGTGAACACTGGATGAAATAGTCTATGTGGGAACTTGCTAATACAAGTGTGTGTGTGTGTGTGTGTGTGTGTGTGTGTGTGCGTGCACGTTTGCATGACGGTATATCTAGGTAACTTTCCCAATTTTAAACTGAACTAAAAAATACACAAGTATATAAGCTTCTCTCTCTCTCTCTTTTTTTTTTCTTTTCTTTTTTTTTTTTTTTTTTACTGAACCACCTTCTGGAATCAGTTCCTTTGTTCTCTCTCAGGCTTCCCCCAAGACAATAAGTGGTTCAAAACTTACTATGGGTAGATCTGTCAAATTCATACAGCTATCCACTTAAGTGTGCACCATGGTATACGTGTTATACTTCAATAAAAACATTAAAAGTAAAAGAGCTTTAAAAAAACAAACAAACCAACCCTACCGTGGGAAGGATTCACTCATTCCTGACCTCCCTGTAGCTAACTTACTTATTTCCCCTTTTATAAATTCTAATTTCAGTGCTTCATGCTGAGCAATGGAGCAAGCTGCTTATCTCAAACCATGGCATATCAACACGAAGCAGGAGGACAGGCGGGCTCCAAAGCACTTACCCCAAAATCAAAACAGTTGAATGAAGAGTGAAAGTAAAGTCGAGGCCCCATGCCATACATCTTCAAGGACATCTCCAAGAGGAACAGTCCCAGAAACAGAAATTCTGCATAGTCTGAAAGCATCAAAAGAAGAAGCCTTTGTTCCATAGATGGCATGGGCTCCTGCATGCCCCAGCCCGACACTCTCACCTACAGAGGAGCCCTCAACACCAGCAGGACCCATAACGCAAAGACATTCACTGACCGTGTCAGGTCAAAGCCAGGCAAAACCTGATGATATCTGCGTACACTCTGATCTGGGAGTCCCAAGCACACTCCGCATATTAGCTTTGCTCTTTTTCAACAGGTGGATTTGTCACTATCCTTTAAATGGTATACAGCTCTCAGGAGAGAAAGAAAGAGCTTTACCATGGCTTTGATGCAACAGCCAGATTCGACCTATACACACCCAGCTGTGACAGCATCCTGGATCTTCATTGACACCCAGTGGCAGCCTTGCTCAGAGCTGACCTATAAGTTCCCTTATTGGTCTACTGGAAGTAACCATTGCCCTAAGAACTTTCTCCCCAGGACTTAGGTGACCAAACTCTCTACACCACTGAGCCTACACCATTGAGCCTAAGTGAAGGCTTTAAAGTACCCAAGGCTAACACTATCTTATTGACTTCTCGATAAGTTAGTGGTTCAATGATGAATGACAAGGGGAATGGTCATGTGATATCCCAACCCCTTGAGGACAACTCTAGCCTCCCTCACAGAACACTGCCAGGTCCAGTAGGATGCCTGCTCTCTTACATTCACATTCCAATTCGGCAGCACCTGTGACAGCCAGTAGTCACTATTCACTTACAGAGGAGATGGGTGAGCCACTGGGGCTGGTTGTGATGGACGATGGCCACACAGGCAGTGTTGAGAGCCACAAGGCTCAACACAATCCAGTAAAACACCTGGGATTTGACCATGTGGCGGATAGAGATGCGCAGAAGCCTTTCTTTGTGCCGGAAATAGGAGGCCCCATCCACCTTTGCACTTTTGATGCTGGCTCGGGCAAGAGGTGTGCCTAAGGGGAGACAAGTACAGAAGAAGAATGAGGCTGCACAACAGATCACCCTCCATGGCAAGGGGGCCTTCAAAGGGGGAGACGGACAGCTTCAGTTGGCTCAGTGACCACCATGTTGCAGGCCCAAGGAATCCCCTTGATATGGGCTAAGTGTTTCCATAGCAGAGATCCCTGGTTATCCTCACTGGACACTCTAAGTTTTAGGAAACCAAAAGATTCCCTGGGCATGACATGAAACATACATCCAGTGTTCTGAATCCTAACAGGATGATGTTTATGTTTTTCATAGATTAAGCTTCTTTCTGGCCTTTCCTTTTAAATATGCTTCAGGCATTGGAGTCAATTGGCTGCATTTGTGGTATTTCTACCACTGGCAGCCTAAAGCAGCAATGAGCTATGTACAACTCTTCTGCTTTTACCCTATGACCCAGCAATAGCACTGCTAGGAATTTACCCAAGGAATACAGGAATGCTGAAGCATAGAGGCATACATACCCCAATATTTACAGCGATGCTTTCAACGATAGCCAAATTATAGAAAGAGCCTAAATGTCCATCAACTGACGAATGGATAAAGATGTGGGGTGTGTGTGTATGTGTGTGTGTGTGTGTGTGTGTGTAATGGAATGTTACTTGGCAATGAGAAAGAATGAAATCCTGCCATTTGCAGCAACGTGGATGGAACTGGAGGGTATCATGCTAAGTGAAACAAGTCAGTCAGATAAAGACAGATACTATATGTTTTCACTCATATGTGGATCTTGAGCAACTTAACAGAAGACCAGGGGGAAGGGAAGGGGAGAAAAAGTTACTAACAGATAGGGAGGGAGGCAAACCATTAGAGACTCTTAAATACAGAAAACAAACTGAGGGTTGATGGGGGAGGTGAGGGAGAGGGGAAAGTGGGTGATGGGCGATGAGGAGGGCACTTGTTGGGATGAGCACTGGGTGTTGTATGGAAGCCAATTTGATAGTATATATATTTTTAAAAAGGTTGAAGTGAGACCCTTCCCTTTTTCTGGGGAGGTAAAATCTGCATTTACCAGAATGTCTGGGAACCTGGGATTGAAGAGGGTTTTTAAGGGCTGTCATAACAATCTGTTTAAACATCACATGGAAGTAGGTAGGTGCCACTGTGGCTAAGCAAATGATTCCAGGGTCTCAAATGGGGGTCACTAGAAGCATCAGGTCCTCAGGATCTTTTGAACAATATCCCAAAGTGGGTTCTCATTATCACATTTAGGACAGAAAGTATATATATATGTAAAAGGGATACATCTGACACACTTGAAGAATCTGGTTGGATTCTTAGCCCTCAACCCCATGGTCCATTTTTCTCTGCAACTCCCTGTCATCTATTAGATTTCCAAGACTTTCTCTTTTTCTGGATTCTTTGGATTCTGTTCCTCTTTGTGGCGCTTCTCAAAAGACATGATCTTTCTTTACATAGAAGATTCAGACCAATAAAAGAAGATCTAACTGGTTCCACTCACCCACAGAGGAGATATCAACACAGTGCTCATCGCTGGAGTCTCGAGTCATGGCCTCTGTCCGGCTCCTTTTGATGGTTGCCCTTCGAAGCACTGTACCAGGGAAGGGGAAGTCCAGTGAAAGAACACAAGAACAATCAGATCATTCAGGTCAAAGCTGAGGACTGTGTGCCAGAGGCCTCTTGACACAGGCGACTGCCTTGAAACAGCTGAGCCATGGTTACAGAAATCACGAATGTCTATAGAAACATGACTCGTGTGCTCAGCAGCACCTTGAAACACATGTGCTCCAGAGTCCTTGCCAGACCCTATCTACACGCAGTCATAAATAAGCACTCCATATCTATTTGTTCTGGTTCTTCATAAACAATACCACTTCCTGGGGCGCCTGGGTGGCTCAGTTGGTTAAGCGTCTGACTTCGGCTCAGGTCATGATCTCACAGTTCATGAGTTCAAGCCCTGCTTTGGGCTCTGTGCTGACAGCTCAAAGCCTGGAGCCTGCTTCAGATTCTGTATCTCCCTCTCCCTCTGCCCCTCCCTAGCTCATGCTCTATCTCTGTCTGTCTCTCAATGATAAATAAATGTTAAAAAAATAAAAAACAAAATAATGCCACTTCCTGCTAATGAAAGTGGTCCCAAGACGATCCCTGCAAATTTTCAAAGAAGATCCCTTTCCATGCCACTGGTCGTATGATGGTCTTTTCATTGCACAGTAGCAATCACACGCCCTAGAACAAAGCAGCTATTGGAGTTCATTTTCATCACTTCAAAAAGCATTTAAATCCATGACTCAATTCCCTTCATTTTAAAGCATGAGGGATTTTATGACAGAGAGACTTTCATTTCAAATCCCAGAGCACCACTCTTTTTATTTCTTTCTCTTTTGATCAAGAGATTGCCACAGCGTAAGAGGGCGCAAATGCAGTAAAGCGTTGGAGCACTTCCTTACCTTCTAAGGCTGATGTTCCAGCGTTTTTATTTTCTTCAGCAAGCATGACTTCCTCTATATGGAAATAAATGGTTTAGTAAATTATCTGTAAATGTCAAATTATTTCACAAGATGAAAAATCCTCTAGGGACAGCTGTGGCCCCAGGGCAACAGAGAGAGAGCAAAGAGTTCATAGCTCCATGCAAGCACCAGCTTCAGAAAGACATCAAGGGTCACAGAGGGAGCTCCCAAGTGCAGATGAGAACAGAAAGGAAGTTCTTGTAGTAAGGGGGCACTTGGAGGTTGACTGTTAAAATTCAGCCCTGTGTCGGGTAATATTTGTTGAGAGAAAGAACTTACCTCTTTCTAACCAAAATCTCCTAAACTGATAGCAATGAAAATTTTCCATTTCTATTTTTTTCCTTCTACCCAGGTTCTTTAAACTTTTTCTAGCAGTAGGCGCTTCCTTGGTTTTTCTTGTCGGCAGCACATACAAGGCGTACCAGGGCAACATCTACTGCCTCGTTCAGGCGATAAAACCATGTTTTGAGCTCCAGCCAGTCTACTTCTTTGAGGAGGAGCAGCGGAAGATGCTAATGGCATCTTGTGGGCTTGCTTCCTCTTACCCCCACACTACAGTCTGCCTTGCTTGGGCAAAAGAGGCTCAGGTCTGCCGTGAATTTGGCCCTCTGATATAACGAAAAGTAAATATCTGGTTTTTGTCCACCTTCCTGGCACAGAGCTCCAAAAACCCTTGGAATTTACTGTCTTTTGTATGCTAACTAGACAACTCAGTGTCGAAGACGCCTACATTACTTAAGGATCTGCATTGGTCACCAGAAAAACCAACCATATGATTAGGTTATAACTTTCAGCCTCATTCCCCCTCCCGGTTCCCATGATGGGAGAGAGGCTGGAGAATGCACAATCACCAATGCCCAATGATTTAATCAAATATGTCTACATAATGGAATCTTCAGGAAAAACAACAACAACAACAACAACAACAACAACAACAAACCCTCCATGAGGGGGCTCAAGGAGCTTCGGAGTTAGTGAATATGTCAAGGTGCTGGGAGAGTAACGTGCCTGAAAGGGGCATGGAGGGTCTGTGTCCCCCTCTACCCTCCACCTTACCCGAGGAATCTCTTCCATTTGGTTATTCCTGAGTTGGATCCTTTGTAATAAACTGGTGATAGGAAGTATAGCTTTCCTGAGTTCTGGAAATCATTCAAGGAATGATCAACCTGGAACCCTCTAAATTGGCAACTGAGTGGGTAAAAATGCAAGTCACTTCGGGACTCCACTTGTGGCTGGTGTGTGAAATGATGGCAGGCTTGTGGGACTGAGTCCCTAATCTGTGGGATCTGCACTACCTTCTGGTGGTGTTTAGTGTCAGAATTGAATTGAATTTTTGGATACCCAATTGGAGAACTGCAGGACTGGCCAGTGTTGGAATGCTGTGTCTGGTTGTCAGTATTTGGAAAAGAATCAAGCGGTTCCTTGGATTTTCCTCTTGACCTCCCAGGAACAGAACTGTATTCCAGGGAGGTATCATCACTAGTGGGCTATTTTCTAGTAAGACTTGTTAGGATAAACCTCACTAGCATTCCTCCAAACTTACAAACTAGTCCTTCTGTCCCATATCTGACAGGATTCTGTGTCTCCATTGGGAGTGATGTGGATGAGTTTAATCCTCACCCCAACCTCAGCCACAGGCAGGAAGCTGGAAGCTGGAAGCCATCAGTCCTTAAGATCCCAGCTGCTGGGGAAAAGCTTACAGCAGGCTCTATTAAATGATGGTTTCATTTAAGCAATTGTAACAAGTAAAAGGACAAGCAGAAGAGGGTAAAGTCATTACCATAATTCCACCTGCATATAAAACTGAGAGCATATAATGTATTTCCCAGGGAGGGGAACATTTTGAAGCTCGGAGGGTACCACTCAGGATAGCTATTATACCAAGGCATAAATGTTTAGCTTTCCTTTTTAGTACAGCCTCTGGCAAAACTTTAAGTTAACAGGTTAAATGTTATTGGTGAGATGCTCCTTTATGCAGACATAGAGGTTTTAAAGTCATTTACAGCACACGTTGTTCAGAGGACATCATTTAAAGATTAGGTACTCGTTAAAATACCTCATAGCAACATGAATGACCTCAGCCAGGGAGGCACATCTGCTCTGTACTGTGCCTGGGTGCTGGGTGGGCTAATCTGAGGACTCCCAAGGCAGAAGGAGGGCACGTGGTGCTGCTGAGTATCTCTGGGAAGTGCTTGAGGGCTCTGGATGTGCGGAAGCTGCCCCCACCTTCCCCCATAGCCTTTTGCCAAGTTCTCTCTCGAACTTGAGAGTCTCTTTCCAGGGAAATGTAACCCATATGTCTCTGATTCACTCACACCCCATTTGCAAAGGGAAGGGCCAGGAAGCCCAATCTGACGTTGCAGTGCGTCTTTTTTCTTAGAAGGAGAGAGCTGGCTTTGCCAACTGGAAGAAAGTGGAGCCTTGGAATTCTGCATGTATCTGAAAAGCAGAGCCACAAAGAACAGCGTCCTGTGCTGCCTGACCACGAGTCGAGTCATGGACAGGGCGGGCAACGTTCTTTTCCAGTTCTGCTGCCAGACTGCTCCCTGGGGTGGTCTGTCAGATGGCTCCTCCACCCAGGAAGCCAAGGACAGTGGGGAACTTCAAGCTGCCTGCCAGACCTGGAGACAAATCTGCTCAGTAAGGCTGAGTTAACATTCTGGAAAGGAGGAGAGGTTCACATTCACCCCTACCCGAGAACCTCGGAGGAGAAAGGGCAAATTGAAAGTATAGTCAGTGGGTATGGTACATGCTTCTAGAAGCAGCGAAGAAATGCAGGTGGTCCTAAATGGGAGGTGCTTATTGTCTGGCTTTGAAATGGCACTTTTAATCATACGTACTCTCTCATCCCTGACAGATGATCAAAAGTTGACTCCAGAGCTGAGACAGCTTTTTTGTCTTGGTGGGTAGAAGAGGAGTGCCATGGTGTCATTCCTAAGCTGCTATGGAAGAATAAGTCTCAGGCAACTAAGCATCAAATCATATTCCAAATTTTTCTGGAGAGATCTCACATCTGTGCTATGCTTTCTACCAAGAATAGAGGGGAAAAAATGCTGTCATGTGTATCTTTTTATTAAAATAAATTCCTCTTTGCTCAGGATGAAAATAAAGATATATAACACCAATGCAATGTAATCTTTAAAATAATAAGGAAAGCAAATGCATCCATTTTACTGACAGATATGGGGTGATCGATACCCCTTCCTGAGCAGCTGAGCCACAGTCAAACTTGAAGCTAGTGGTTCTGTGGGTTAACAAAATCATGATAGGTTTGGACCTATCCTCAAGGCGGAGCCTCATAGCGAGGAACTGGTGATAGCTCAGGAAATAGGAATCACCAGTTCTCACCATCAGGTATTACCCGGCTCACCGCAGTGGCCTCGCCATCGGTCCCCTGCTTCTGACCTTGCCCTCCTACAGTGTACTCTCAATGCAGCAGCCAAAGGGACCCCTCAAAATCTTCAATCAGACCATGTCCCACCTCAGCTCCAAACCCTCCAATGGTTCTTGCATCACTAACAGCACAGCCCCGAACCCTTACAATGGCCCATAAGTTCTGCCCACTCCTCTCATCACTGGCCCCACCCTGTCTTCCTGCCCCTCTCCCTTTACTCATTCTTCCTTCTATTCCTGGAATATTCCTGGCTTGCTTCCACACTAGAGTCTTAGCACTGAGATATCCCCCTCAGACCTTCCCATGACTTACCACCTCAACTCCTTCAAGTCTCTCCCCAAAAGGGTCTCCCTGATCTCCCTATTTCAAAACACAACCTACCCTACACCCCATAACCCTACCTTGATCTGTTTTCCATGGTACTTGTCACCTTCTTACAAGTTATTCATTTATTATTTTGTTTATCCCTGCCTTCTCCAAAAGAGGGAATGGGCTTCACATGAAAGGGGCTTTGGTAAGCTGGGGGTCTGTTTGGTTCATTGCTGTATCTCGAGTACCTAGGACAGCGGCTGGCACAAAGCAAGTGCTCAAATATTTGTGGAATGAATGGACTGTTGTTGCTGCTGCTGGTGGTCATTATAATTATCAGCAGTAGTGTACAATGTCACCCACCCAACCCAGCTCCAGGAGCTAGCTATGTTACCTTTCACTCAGTTCACCTTGCTAAACTGTGAGCCTCGTGAAGGTGTTCGGTAGAAGAATAGGAACAGTTAGTCCCGAGGAAGAAAGAGGGACCAGCATGGAGCCCACAAAGCCGGTGAGGCATCCAGAGCTACTCTCTGCTTTGGCCAAGGCTGCTCCTGTGAATGGAGGCACCGGGGGTGCTCAGGGGGACGTCTACACTGATGTCTGTGCAGCCCGCCAGGCCTCACCTGCTTTGTCTATCCAGGCGCGGTACCCATTCAGCTCACGCTCAATCTGCTGCTGCCGCCGCAATTTCATGAAAGCTCTCCGGTTCTCCACTCTCTCTCTCTCTTTGGCAAATTCCCTGTGGATGAGAAGGATGAGATTCATAAGCAGTGAACTGGGGTAGTGCCGTGACTAAAAGGAAGGGTGAAGCAAGTAGGAGCAAGAGAGTGTTTGAGCAGGTGACTCTCTATGCCCCATTTCCCCTTTCCTTTGTTCCAGGCTGCAACTATCACCTCCTTAAAATGCTGTTCAGAAACATAACTTTGTTCGGCCTCACTCAAGAAGCTTTCCCAGATCAGTTTCATCCCAGTCATCACTAACACCCTCTGCTTGCTCTATTTTAAAAGGTACTTTCTTAGTCAGGTGACAAACTAGGGTTCAAAATGCTATGTTCTGTTTCCCCAGCTACAACATAAGGCCATTAACCCTCCTGAGGGGCACACCTACCCTTTATGCTTTTAATAACAACAGTGATTAACCTATATGGACCAATTATGTGCCAGCCCTGTATGAAGTTTTTCATACCCATGGACTCTAATTTAATCCATTACAGTCACCATGTGAAGTAATAAGTACTATTAAAATTCCTACTTAACTGATGGGGAAACCAAGGATTAGAGAAGGGAAGGAACTTGCTGGGATCTAAAGTCTAACCATAGTGCCGTGCTTCCTCTGGCATCCTGCATCCTGTGACACTCTATAAGGGCTGCCACTGAAGACCATTGACACCAATGCCTTGAAGGACTGAGTGCTGTGTGAAGATGGCTAGTGGAGGTTAAATAGGAAAGGGAAGGACACGGGAAGGGCACCTGGCTCCAAAAGAAAGAGAGTAGGAAGATGTGAGGGATATGAGAGGAGATAATGAGATAGATGGAAAGCCAAGGTCAGGGTCAGGGAGAAGACACAGTCCACTGACAGGTGCAAGGGACCAGAGCCACTCTGTGGCACAAGATGAAGAAAAGCCTAAACCCCTGGGTGGCGGGGGGGGGGGGGGGGGGGGGGGAGAGGGTGGGTGGCGTGGAAAGGGAAAAGAGACACAAGGGCTTCCTGGTAGAGAGGAAGATGAGCAAATTCAATGGCTGAGCAAATGGGTTTAAAGAAATATTCATTTGTTAATAGGCCTCTCTAGCAACCACCTCTACCAACGCCCTTCTCATCAAACACCCCTCCAGGCTACAATGCCCTTAGTAGTGTAGTGCCTCTCCAGCCTCGGCTCAGGCATGCTCCCTACTACCTGGAAGCTGTTGCCCTTAGCCAAGGTGCTCCCCACAACTAGAGAGCTTCAGCCTGACAATGAGGGAGCCCAGCACCCACTGTAAAAAGTTGTATTTTGAAGGAAAGTTGCTTTGCTTTAAGAATGAAGTAAGCTGTCTCTGGGTGTCATCATCTTCTCTGTTCTCACGTATCAGAACTCAGCCGCTCAGCTGCTGAGGGGCCACACTGGGGGCTTAACATTAAAAGCATATGAAGAAACAACTATGGCAAGGGCACATTAGACTATGAATGCAGAATTTGTGAGGATGACCCAAGACTGCTTGGTCTGAGCAAGGCTATACTTTGCTGATCTAAGATAGCTTCTTGAAGATCTTGGGCAATCAGCTCCAGTCTTGGTAACAGTGACACTTTTGTTTTGAAGTTTATTTTAATTCCAACTAGTATACAGTGTCATGTTAGTTTCTGGTGTTTCCATACAAATGTTAGAATTGTTTGTTCTGTCTCTGTGAAAAATGCTGTTGGTATTTTGATAGGGATTTCATTAAATCTGTAGATTACTTTGGGTAGTATAGACATTTTAACAGTATTTGTTCTCCCAATCCGTGAGCATGGAATGTCTATTTCTTTTTGTCCTCTTCAACTTCTTGCATCAATGTTTCATAGTTTTCAGAGGCCAGGTCTTTCACCTCATTTGTTAAGTTTATTCCTAGGTATGGTATTATTTTCGGTGCAATTGTATATGGGATTGTTCTCTTACTTTCTCTTTCTGTTATTTCATTATTAATGTACAGAAATGCAATGGATATCGGTATATTGGTTTTGTATCCTGGGACTTTACTGAATTCACTGATCAGTTCTAGTAGTTTCTTGAGGGAGTCTTGAGGGTGTTCTGTATATAGCATCATGTCATCTGCAAATAGTGAAAGTTTTACTTCTTCCTTACCAATTTCCATGACTTTGATTTCTTGTTCTTGTCTGACTTCTGTGGCTAGGGCTTCCAGTAGTAAGTTGAATAAAACTTTACATCTGTAAAGGTGTCACTTACAGGCAGTGATGAGTCGTGCAGAGGCCCCATGAAGATCATCTTGCCCATCAACACCAGGCCCCATTCCATAGCAACATGCTCCAGCCACACGGGGCTTTTACTTTTGCACTAGTACCTGGACGTCAGCTCCCAGTTTGGCTAAGCTGTCTCTCCCCAGTACCAACTTGTATAAAGGTACAAGTTGCACTTTATTTCTTTCACCTCCTCTTGCCTGGAACAACAGTGTGATTGATCTATCATTGATTTCGAGTATGTTATTTCTCTAAAAAAATTTTTTTTCTTAGCGTGTATTTATTATTGAGAGACAGAGAGAGACAAAGCATGAGCATGGGAGGGGCAGAGAGAGGAGAAGACACAGAATCTGAAGCAGGCTCCGGGCTCTAAGCTGTCAGCACAGAGCCGGATGCAGGGCTTGAACCCACAAACCACGAGATCATGACTTGAGCTGAAGTTGGATGCTCAACCGACTAAGCCACACAGGCGCCCCAGTGAGTATGTTATTTCTTTATTGGTTTATTAGCAGAAATTATCCTGTGTACTATTGGCTTGTCAAATTCCTGCAGTGAACTTTCGTTAAATAAATTGCTGGAAAAGTCAAACTCAGTCTCTGAGCATAATTTTTCTTCCAAAATAAAACATTGTTCATATCCAGGGAGGAAGAAACCAGCCAGGGGTTGAGGGATGTGTCACAGCCCCAGGGCAGAGGAAGAGGAGGCACCTCATTCACCCTCTCCTACCAAGATAGATGGATTCCTTGGCACAGACACCTTATCATGGTCATGGTCAGGCTGGGGGCATGGGAATAAGGCATATTAAAAGGAGAAATTGTGAGCTTGTCTTCAGGTTCAGATGGTTCTGTCAACACTCTTTTGGGGGAATGGAGAGGGAGACAGTCAAAATGAAGAGTCCAGGGCCATTGAGAGTCAGAATAACAGAATACAAGCCGTGCGGCACTGCCTTTCCTTGCCTTCTTCCCTGGATGTCAACAATTAGAAAGAAACAAGGGGTTGGATTGGTTCATGGTAACACCATCTATCAAGGTTTTTACCTTTGGCTCTTTGTTTTCTTTCTATCCTTCCTGTCCAATTAGTGTGCCATGTTCTGTTGGTTCTATCTTCAAAACAGCACTTGGATCAACCTTTCCTCTTTGTCCTAACTGCCTTTGTCCAGGACCTCATCATTTTATGCCTGGATTATTGCAATAGCACTTACATGGTCTCTCAACCACCTGTTTCTCTTCTCTTCATTTTATCCATCTCACTCACTCTTTCTAAAACACACATTAGATCTGATCACTTCTAAACCTAAAACAATAATCACAGTGAGTAGCATTTGTGAGGCCCTTTCTAGTTTCTGAACACCTTCATACATTTTGCTAATATTTTTTTATAATCACTCTGAGAAGAAGGTGGAACAGGTATTTTTGTCCTCAATTTAAAAGTTAAACGGGGCACCTGAGTGGCTTAGTCAGTTGAGCATCTGACTTTGGCTCAGGTCATGATCTCATGGTTCACGGGTTTGAGCCCCATGTCGGGCTCTGTGCTGACAGCTGGAGCTCGGAGCCTGCTTCAGATCTATGTCTCCCTCTCTCTCTGCCCCTCCCCCACTTGCTCACTCTCTCACTCTCGTGCTCTCTCAAAAAAAAAAAAAAAAAAAAAAAAAGAAAAGAAAAGAAAAAAGAAAAGAAAAGAAAAGTTAAACAACTTGTGATAATTTAAGTAAGAAGCAGATCCAGGATTGGACCCTAAGCCTGTCTGCTCTAAGAGCCCAAGCTCTTCATGCGGCACACATGTCTCCCTAGTCCAATGGCATATTTATATGCTGTTTTCTTTATTGTTTCAGATGTATGTGTCTTGATTTTTCAAATGCACTCTAGGGATCCGGGAAGGTTTAACAAGGAGGTAATATTTTGAGGAAGACCTTGAAAAAAGGAGGATTTAAGCAGGCTATGAGCAGAGGAACACAATAACCCTTTAGCATCGAGGATAAGCATTATTACCAACATCACCATTTTCTAGCTCAGAGCACTAAATCTAAGGAGAGTTAAGTGGCCCTGTGAGAGAGCAAGCATCCAAGGACACAGAGTCACTAAGAGCAACCATGACCCTCAGATCCTATACATTCCATTTTCTTTCTATTCTTCCCCTGCTCCTCCACAGCCTCCTCCACCCTCTGCTAAATGAAGTACAAACACTTAACATGACCTTCACGGTTTTTCACAGCCTGATCCTAACCTTTCCTCCAAACCTCACCTCCCAACATTCCCACCCGCCCACCTGCCTGCAGTCACCACAGCCACGCTCCAGCGGCAGCACCCGTCTCCCTGTTCTGGAGAATGCAGTATGGCTATCAAGGCTTGGTCCACACTGTTTCTCTTCTTATCTGCCCAATTCTGTCAAAATCCTTCTCCAAGGCCAGTGTGAAATGTCACTTCTTCTGTTCAGCTTTCCTCTCCTCTCCCTCTCTCCCTTTCCCAGTCTCCAGCCTCCATTCTTTCTTTCCTCTGTGCCTTTACAGTTCATCTCACAGCCAGGCTTCACTGTGGTAAGCTGTACATGTGACTGCCTCTCCCTCTATGCGAGCCTCTTGTGAAAATATTCCATGTCTTACTCAACTCTGTATCCTCCCAGACTAGACTAGGCCTGGCACATGGTATATGTCCAATAGATTTTTTTGTTAATTAAAAATATCCAGGCTGACTTGGAGAGCATACTGATAGCTCTACCCTGGTTCCCAAAGGCTCAAATGAAGAAACGTTCCGTCTCTGCACTGACTCAAAGGGAGGCAGGTGAACAAGCCAGAGAGCAGCAGTTGCCAGG